ATGATATCATCGATCCTAAATTCTTTTTCAACATCCATTTGCTTCATAATGACTTGAACCAACCAGATTTTGCTAAATACGTAGCATGGAGTACCCCATGCTAATCTAGTACAGTTGTAGGACCTAGTACTTCCCCTAAAGGAGCGTCCAGTAAAATTACTGACAGCAACTAACAGGACAATTTATTTTGGAACCTATTTATCGCTTCAAACTAACACGAGGTTTTTTACATAAAACCACACGAATTACACTGCTACAACACATGGAGTATCATGGGCCACCAAAAAGAATTCACCAATCAAATCCATCTTGGACAATCCTTTCTTTCATATTTCCTTCCGATTCCTGAATCAGTGTGTTCTTCAGACTTCGTCAATTCCACTAACCTTCAGGATTCCAAGTTAGCGATTCTCTCGTGATACACCTTGATGATTTCCGCAATGTACATCATATCCATCTCCAACGTCTTTCCCCATTTTCCACCTCACCTATTAAATACTGAAGTAAAAACGGACAAAAGGTTATGAAGAATTCAAGAGCTTCAGATTAGCGGAAAGACAAAGAATGGATGCAGCAGGTCAATTGAAAAGGATTTTGAGCCATATCATTGGAAATCTCTGACCACTGTTCACACGACCCCGAACAATGTAGTCTAAACTTACCAACATGGCTCAGCCTTAATGTTGACTAGTTTATAGAATACTTACTTAGTTAAACCAGTTACTCTTCCTGATGGAAAACAGGTCGCCCACCAAGATTCTCCATTCAACTCTGTCTTGGACAATCCCTTTTAGTTCTTTCGTGTTGCTGTTCATCATTTTCATGCCTGCAACCAATTCTCGGTGTATTGTGTTCTTTGGACTTCTTCATTTCCGCTTCCCTTCAGGATTCCAAGTTAGCGATTGTCTCGTGATACACCTTGGTGATTTCCGCAATGTACGTCCTATCCACCTCCAACGTGGTGTTGCAGACGGTATCCGGCCAACGGACATTCAGTATCTTACGCACACAACTGTTTATAAATGCTCGTATCCTTTTGATGATGGTTGTGGTAGTTCTCCATGTCTCAGCTCCACACAGTAGAACTATCTTGATGTTCACATTGAAGATTCTCATTGTGATATTGGTTGACAGTTGTTTTGAATTCCATATGTGCTTCAATTGTAGGAATGCCGTCCTTGCTTTGCTAATCCTCACATTTAAGTCTGCATCCGATCCTCCGTGTTCATCGATGATGATGCTGACAAACCACGTGAAAGATTCCACATATTCCAGACCTTCTCCATCAAGTGTGATTGGGTTAGTGTTCTCTGTGTTGTAGTTGAAAATCTTGCTTTTTCCCTTGTGTATGTCAAGGCCTACTGATGCACAGGCTTCCGCTACACCGTTTGTCATGACTTGTATTTGTGGTTATGGGGTTGAAGGGCCAGGTCATCTGTAAAGTCCAAATCTTCTAACTGATTCCGAGCTTTCCCTTATACTCCGTGCTTTCCCTCAGATGTTCAAGTTTTCAAAATCCAGTCGACCACCAGAAGAAAGATGGAGTTGGAGAGTAAGCAGCCTTTTTCTGACTCCGCTTCTCACTTGGAATCAGTCTGTCAGTTGTCCTCCATTCACCACTTTGCACTGTAACCCATCCTATCAATTCCTGATGATGTTGGCGACCTTCGCGGGTACACCGTGGTGTCGAAGAAGTTTCCATAATGTTCTCCTATCCACACTGTTAAACGCCTTTCATGGTCAAGGAAGTTGATGCATGGTGATGAGTTCCATTCAATCGATTGTTCAATGATGATCCGTATTGTCGCGATTTGGTTAATGCATGAACGATCCTTACGGAATCCAGCCCGTTGACCTTGAATTCGGGCGTCTACTGAACATTTAATCCGGCTCAACAACACTCTCGTGAAAGCTGTTGCGAATCGGCGTTTTTAGCTCTTGCTCTTATTTCGTCTTGTCGGCTATAATGCTCCTCTTCATTTGCCTGTTTACTTCTGTGTATTCAGCTTGTGTCCTCCTTTTCTCTGCTCTTGCTCTGCTGTCTGTTCATGCTGTATTCTTTTACATTTTTTGAATCTCGTCCAGATTTTCGATGTGTTTCCATTACTTACAATAATTATTCTTGCAGTTAGCAACTCCTGACATGTAAAATTTAAAGCTTATTTGATCACTTAGCAGTTTTACTCCATGGTAGCTAGTCCTTCTTTCACAGATCTTGTAAGGCGAGAAACGTGTTGTTGAGAGTTATCTTTAATTGGTTGAGTTTATCAGTATATCGAAAGAGGATTGTGATGGACCCTGTTGCTCCTCCAGTTGTCCAGTGTTTCTTTGGCTTCAGTTTCATCATGACCACAACCAGGAGGTGATCTGAAGCCATGTCAGCTCCTATCTTGGTTCTCATGTCTTCCATTGATCTGCTGAATTTTTTATTGCTACTTATCTATCTGGTTCTTCGTGTTGTGATTCGATGAGATTCATGTAACTTTGCGTACGCATTTGTGTGGAAGTATTGTGCCACAAATAACCAATTTGTTGTATGCACACAGATTTACAAATCTCTCACCATTTTCATTTCTCTCCCTCAGTGCATGTCGTCCCATGATATCTTCATAATCGATGTTGCTCAATATGATTTTGGCGTTTAGATCTCTTAACAAGATAGTTAGGTCCTTTCTTGGGCACTTCAATATGATCTATCACAACCTCTGGCAGAACTGATCATTATTGTCGTCGTTTCTATCATTGGTGGGTGCAAAAAATTGGATAATATTCATTGTAACTACCTCCTTTGTCCTTCTGAATGATATTCTGATGATTCCGGATCCGTGAGCTTTCCATGCTATAAGTGCATTACGTGCTTCTTTGGACAGGATCAGAGCAACTCCCTGAGTGTGTGCAGCATTTTCTTCCGAAGAATCTTGTCTTTCACGATGAGGCGTCATAATTCTTCCTTCAACTCTCAGGACAGAGTTTAAATTGTTTAATCCGTTTATTCTGGTTGGCGTTTTTTTATCAAGGTTTTTTCTACGAAATGTGGTTGCCGACCACATACCCGTCCCTTCTTCTTTACCTGGGCTTGAGATGGGGAGTAGCTCTAGAAGGGCTGCAGGCGTAGTTAAAGACCCTGTAGTGATGCTCAGAAATTAGAGGCACAACGCAAGGAGCTTTATTGTGTTCACATTTTGCGTATTCAATTTGTCTAATTTGCTAGTAGCTGGAGTTTTTCAAGCGAATTCCGAGAATCCTACAAGGGAGATTTCGTTGATTTAACTTTATCAACGAAGGCCAGTATCCTAATATAGATGCTACCTGTATTCGAAGTTTGACAAAGCCCCTCACACGTAACACATTTATAATCGAAGAATACCAACCCAATCAAATCGGATTACAGAAACAGAGGTTCATATATGTTTTAAACACTATCGATATATCGGGAAGCGTTTAGTTTAAGCAATCAAAGAAATTTGCTAAAAAAAGGAATAACTAAGCCCGTTTGACTTCTGCTCACGATACAAAATCTGAATCTGTTTATGAGCCTTTTTAAATTGAACATGCGTACTATGACCTTGTAACTTAAAAAGGACATTGGGATATACTGAAATCTGTGTGCGTAAGTCGGTTATGTTCCGTTGTGTTGGTGTATCGTAATTCCTTACCTGACGTAGACTAACTTTGACATTTTTCCTAGTCATGTCAGTGGCTGTTGACTTCTTTTTTAGAAATCACTCACTGAAGCTGCTAACCTAATATTTACGGATGTATATTACTGACTGAATTTTGTGGGATTTAGGTCTAAATCTCAACTCTTTGAAGTGAGAATTAAGATACTTGAGGTATGATACGAATTGCACGTGAAATCTAGATAATTCACCAAAAATCTACTTATGATCTAAGAAAACGTAGATATCGTATATTAACTGTGAAAAAACGCCTTTAGACTCAACACTACATAAGTAACTTCAAGGCCCATTTTTGACCAGTTTGATGTGAGACTTTGTCTGGCGCTTAAATTTTATTCAGCCCTACATAGAATATTATGTGGTCCCTCCCTTTACCCAAATGGTCTTTTCCAAGTATATACAGAGAAACTCCAAACCACCCTTAAGTTTTTAGTTCATATCCTTCCAGGAACACCTGAAGCCATTAGATCTATACCTCAGAATATATAGTCCAGACTTACGCTTGTCACCCCCCCCCGGAACAGCATAGGCCGCCCACCAAGATTCTCCACGATTTAGAGGTGACGTCAGAAAAATCTACATCATAACCACCCGAAACTATCCTATGGAGCACTTTTACAGGTCAGGCCGTCATAAAAATCCTAGGGGAAATAATTAAAAGCCATATTTACCACGTAGCTGTTTGAGCTGGGTTTGCCTTTTGCTGTTCACTGGTAGTCAAGTTTATGAATTCACTGCCATCTGAAGAGTAAACAAATTCCTCAAAGTTTCCTAAAGTAAAACTCTAAATAGCATGTCGTGTTCTTAATCGTTGTTATTTTGTATAATTTGATCCCTACCTGCATCACACTGATGGTCCATTTCTTCTAGGCCCGGAAGAGCATTTGACGAAAACTTCAGTCCCGCCAACAACCATTTTAACTGTTAGTACTTTGGGATACAATAGCCTTAAATTCCACATTTGTAACATACCACATCATTAAGTTCCAATTACTGGTCCAGAATAAGTCTTAGTCTGTAGTATTTAGACATACCACTAGTATCTTCGCACTGTAGACAGTTTATTCTGGTACAGTAAGCTGTGTCTGACTATGGATGTTATGTAAAAGCCGGAATCCAACAAACTTATGCTAGTCTTCGTGTTTTCTATTTTGCAGGTTGTGTACCTCTGCTAGGAAGATTATTTCCGCTAGTCACTAATCTAACATTGCAAGTATACTTGCTACATGTCGCTCAACGCCTGACTAAAAGAGTCGTGATGTTCGGGAGGTGAAGTGAAAATCGAATCGTCTTGAGTCTTTGAAACAACAAGAATAACGAATGATAATTCATAAGTTAACTTTGTATTGCAGACGGTTCTATAGAATTGCTGAGAGTGCCGTGATGTGGCTTTTTCGTACTGAAATTTGTTTATTTCTGTCAGTTTCCGCCATTCTTTCAGCGTTTTGTGTACTTGAGTCCATACTTCACCCTGAAGAAAACTCAGAAACGTTGGAAGTATTGACATTATCAAATGATACCAGTTCAGATTCGGAACTTGACGATAATGCTTCTTCACCAATCGAAAATATATCAACTTTCATATCACTTGTCCTGGGGCTGTTTGCAGTTCTTTTGGTTCTCTGGAAAGTAGCTGTAGTTATGTTTTTTGGAAGCTTGACATCTGCTGAAAGAGTATCCCTTTCCAAGTCTCTCTTTCGTTTTGTTCTTTTCCATTTTATCATACTTTCCGGCGCAATTAATCCTTCTCGACTGACAAGTCTCTTGGGATGGCTTTGTTGGTTCAGTATTCTCGGTGTGTTGCACATGTTAACATCTGTGGCTTCTTCCAGATGTAACCAAATGTCGGCTTCTGGTGCCGTAAACATGCGCCAGTGGTTGCGGATATACTGTATGTTTATTATCATTTCTTTTGCAAATTGGTACTTACTTAGAGCCGGTTTGGAAAACTGCTTCACGTTGGCAGACATAGATGTCTCAACTAGTGGAGACTTTTTAGATCTTCATTCACGGAATTCCTTCTTAACTGGCCTCAAAACACCAACTGTGTTGGGTGCATTGAAAGCTAAAATAACAGGGAAAAAGGAGCTTTTGTATGATGCTGTTGATGTTGTCGCCCTACTTATATCTGAGTTTGCGCTTCTGATGTGTACAATATCACATCTTGTTTGTGGATTAATCATACAGACATATGACCGTTGGTGTCTACGCAATGGTCAAAGCTGGCAATACCATTCAACAGTTACGTACTATTATGAGCTCTTTTTCACATGCTTTTACCGGCTAACAGAAATAACGCACTATCTACATCTTCTATTATGGAGTAGAGTGTTTTCTGTGGCTAGCCTTGTTGTTTTCTTGCATATACGTGTATCTTACTCAAACTTGGCTAACAGTATATCTCGCCACCTAGCACAAAGACGACTAATGAAATACATCAATGAGAACTACCAGGCTTGCAAGACAGGGTATTATGTGAGTTAGCTTGATTCTTAATCAAATTGTACTATTTTTTTAAACAAATGTAATCACTAGCAACTACTTCGCATTGAATAATTACTTGTTCCATTTGAATGCTAGTTATCTTTTAGTACGTATATATACCAGTAGTCTTGTCGTAGACTAGTTGTTATAATGGAAATCCACTTGTATATAGCTACTGAATTAATTATCTGAGTTGAAAATATTTTGGATATTGAATAATATTTAAGTAATTGATTGGTTGTTGGTATGGTGGTGTAGACTTTGTACTATTAATTGAATCAAAGCTTATGAAGAACTGCTACCAGAATAGTCAACCTCAATGTGTGTTCATCAGGGCTGACCACTATCACTCTTTTTATTTAATTTCCCCATGGATGCCTTCTTAGAAACCACACTTTCTTTATCTAACATTTCGAAGATTGATCTGTCAGGAGGTCTACTTATTGGGTTAGAATACCTGAACGACATAATCGTATTTGGTGAAGACTTAAAAAATGAAGTCTTTTGATCGCTTTGGGTTTATTTTATTTATTTGAACACTGATATTGGTACAAGGAGGCACCAAATACATATGCACCACACAAATCTCATTTGATTTGTGTGAGGGGTGTGATACTGCTCGGGTGCCCGAACCGAAGCAGGTGGCTTTCTTGGGGGGCCACACCCGGAGCCTTTGACCTTAAGGTCTAATCCACAAGGCAGTGGAACAACGTCAGGAGATGCAGTCCCATGGTAGCCGGTGACCAACGATTGGTTCATACGCCATTTATTACTTCAGGGTACTGAAGCCCATGTGCACCATTGGTTTGGAATCAGGGTTTTTCAACTTCCCTAGGTGGAATCTCCATGTCCACCAACCCGGTTAACGCGCTGGATATTCGCTTTTCGTCCTCTCAATTTCGTAAACAACACCCCCGCCACGAGAAGGCAGTGAGCAGGACTTTCCTGGCAGTGATTGTATGCACATGGCCATGTGAGAGCGTTTCGAGAGGGATAGCGGACTCTCCCCACTCTCGACCGTACCAGGGCATTTGGGGGCACACTGAGTAGCAATATAAATGTGTTTAGATTGCGTTTATCTTCACCCGACCGTAAATGTTGCTTGAGTACTGGTCTGTCCCATCGCACAGTTTGATAATAGGGGGTGAATTGGTTGACTATGTTGCTCGCTTACATACATTTGTGCCAGGCTCTATATTAACATGCTTGTTTATTAATCTGCGCCGATGTTCTTTGTCACCAACTCATTATCTTTTCAGTCAGTCAGCAACAACGTAGAAATTCGTACGTACGTACATCAGTTCGAGTTGCCACACCACATTAGCACACAGATGTAGTGGCCGATTCAAAACCCGTAGTGGTAGAGGTAGTAAAAGTATAAGCAGCAATCCGAAAGATTAGGGTTTGAAGATGTTATTTAAAGAGTATAATACAGTGAAATAAATTTGGAAAGAGAAAACAGAAAGGGACATGAAGAATTCAGAAGATTAGAATTTGGGAGAACACAGAGTGGATGCACCTGCGCCATTGCAAACGATTTTGAGCCATGTCATTCAGGGTCTCTAACCATCGGTTGCTATCATCTCGCGGTCCCCAACCAGGTAGTCTACACCTACCAACATGACTCAGTCCACTTGTCAGTGACTTCATGGACTTGTGCCATGTTTTGGTCTGGCCGCCCTTAGCTTTCTTCCAACCTACTCCTACACCACAAAACATCACACGTCGAGGCAGTCGGTCGTTGCACATACGTAACACGTGTCCCAGCCATCTCAACTGATGAAGTTTCACTACGTCATCAATTGATTTGCCATCCTTACCTAGCACCCGTTTCCTAACAACTGCGTTACTTACTCGATGGTCCCAGGATATACGAGCAATATTTCGAAGACACCTATAGTCAAATACTAGTAACCTACGAATATCCTCTACTTTTACCGGCCATGTTTCACAGCCATAAAGTAGAATGGAACGAACTGCTGCACAGTAAACCCGTCCTTTGGTTGGTGGAGGGATATCTCGCGTACACCATAAATGACGCAAGTTGGCAAACGCTGGTCGAGTTTTCTGTATCCGTGCTGAGATTTCGTCACATGCCTGATTACAAAGGTTGATGAGACTTCCAAGATAAGTGGGCCCGCCCTCCTCGAAATGCTCTCACGGCCAAGCGTATACACCTTCTGCCAGGGAAGTCCTACTGACTTCCCTCTTGTGGTGGGTGTGTTGTTTACGAAAATGAGAGGACGAAAAGCGAATGTCCTGCGCTTTAACCGGATTCCAAACCAATGATGTACATGGGCTCCAGTATCCTGCGGGAGCAAATGGCGTATAAACCGAGTCCCAGTCTTCACTGTCTTGTTTAGTTGGACAGTGCACGAACGACTTCCTACTGGGATCCAGTCTAGGAGAGCTAGTTCTGCCCTAGGAATCAATGCTATACCTACACTAGCAAGGCCACAGGAAGCAGTATCAAGGCTTCCAGATATGAGATCAAATGAATAACGCTACTCGGGTCCTGTATGTGCGTCTCAGAGACGCAGCACACATCGATGGTGCGAGATTCTAAAGTCCTAGCTAAGGAAGCCTGCTGTCTTACTTTACAGTGTTCGGACGTTGAAAGCTCCTACATGTAGTTTAGTGCGTGGCTTCAGGAGACCGAGAATAACGTTCCGCGTACTCGAATCGGTTGCATTCGCGGTGTGAGGTTATAAACGAACGTGAGAAGAGTTAGTTGTGGAGATAAGAGAGTTATTAGATGTAAGAAGGATTTGATTGTGAACAACTTAGTCTCGTGTATTGTTACGGGTATGAGGGCTGATGTCACTTCCCGGCTGCCCAAAACGTGGAATGATATTTCTTGAGGAACCTGAAATGGAAGTTGGATTAGTGTTGGTCTTAACGACCGCAGAGCCCAAGGGACAATTGCGTGAGACCGGTCATGTACGGCCTTTTTGTGGGAAGTTTTTAACCTGTTAGCTCCGTTCTTTAAAAGGCCTTACCACCGGAGACGAAAATTCGTGAGGTAAGGTGAGGTTTGACATTTTAAGGGTTGACATCTAACCCTTTCCTTCCTTGTGAGAAGGCAGCGTCACTGCAGATGCTGGTTGCCCGATGGGAACACCTTACTGCTGTCACACCCTTCTACAGTCAGCGGTGATACTTAGCCCTCAGTTCTTGGGTTGCTGCTCTTAGTTCTCCAGTCGACCTGCCTGGTATGGTGGAACCTACAGTAACATATGTTCCAGCCTATATGGCTCGGTTGTGTCATCACGATAGGCAAGCCCGACCACCACGTCAAGGTAGCAGCTACGATCGCTCCAGAAGTATTTGTAGTGAAACGTTTGTGTGGGACCTAACAACCCCTGTTAATTCTTGGCGCATTTGATAGTGCCGTTTCACTTTCGTACGGCTCTTTAACTTGATTGTTTAAAGTCTTCCTATTGCCTATCATCGATCTTGAGTTTTTAGAGGTATGAGGGCAATTATCACTTCCCGGTTGCCTACACCGAGGAAGTATTCTTCTGAAGGTACCTGAGAATGAAATCGTGTTAGGGGTAGTCCTAGTGACCTGAGAGCGTGACCGCATTGCCCAAGGGACAACTGCTTGAGGTCGGCCACACACGAACTTTTTGTGAGTGTATTTCGTGTTAGCTCCGTACTTGTTGGGACCCTACCTCCGGAGACGGATATCCGTGGAATAAGGCGAGGTATGCATTTTTAGAATCGACCTTCAACCCCACCCTTCCTTTGTGGGGAGGCATCATCGCTGTTATGCTAGTTGTCTGAAGGGAATACCTTACTGCCGCCACAGCTCTGTACATTCAGACGTACGACTTCGTCCTCGGACCTTTGGATTGCTGCTTTCAATCTTGCCGCCCTTCAGTCTTATCTCTTTACCACCGACCTGTCAGGCATGGTAAGACCTTGATGAAGGATTGTTCCGGCCAGTATCGCTCGACTGGTTCATTACGATGGGCAAACCCGACCACCACGTCAAGCTTGCAGCTACGGTCGGTTTAGAAGTAAATAAACCTTGTGAAGGCTCTTTATTCGAACACTACCAGTTTAGTCAGAGCTTATAGCGAATTCTCAACTGGTTTTGCGACCTCAAACGGTGTCCGTCAAGGTTGTCCACTATCTTCATTTTTGTTTAACTTCATCATAGACCTAATGTTAGAAATAACGTTTTCGTCGACTGAATTTTCGGGCATTGTTCTACCAGGAGATCAAGTAAAATAGGATATTTAGGTTGGGAGGGAGAGCTAATTAACTCAACGAGAATAGGTCCGTTACAGGATGAGAGCTATTAGAACGTCAGTCAGTCAGCACATAAATGCATCCATCCAAGTTGCCACTCATTAGCACAACAAAATGAACGGCAAATTCATAGGAGCAATTCAACGGTATTAATATATAAAAAAGACCGCATATAAGAACGCGATACAGAGAGAAAGAATTAGTTCGTAGAATAAAAATTATACAGCAATTTAATGTCACGGTTTAAGGGAAGACAAAGAGTGTATACACCGACTCATCGGTTCTGAGTCTCAACCATTGGTTACGATTGTCACACGGACCCCAACCAAGTAGTCTGCATCTACCAACATGGCTCAGACCAGAATTTAGTGACTTCAAGAACTGATGCCACGTTTTGGTTTGGCCGCCCCTAACTTTCTTCCAACCGTCTCCAACGCTTGTCAGTATTGTGCGTCGTGGTAATCAGTGGTTGAGGATGATTAATACGTGACCCAACCATCCCAATCGATGAAGATGTACATCATCAACTGATTTACCATCATTCCCTAATACCTTGAGTCTAACCTCATTTAATTACCCAGTGATTCCTGCAGATGCGAGTAATATTTCTAAGACATCTGTGACCAAATACTAATAACTTACGAGTATCCTCTACCCTTAATGGCCACGCTTTACAGCTGTAAATTAAAATGGAACGAACTGCTGTGCAGTATTGGAAAAACAGAGTTGATCGAATCGATCTTATATTTGGATTCATTAAAGCGGTAGCTCAAAGTTTAAAAATTTCGATTTTTAGCTACTTAGTCTCAGGTTCTAATCTCACTCCACTTGCTTTGGTTTAGTAAACCAGACAGTGTCACTAGTCCTCACAGTTGTAATGTATTAATGAATCTGTACTTGGTATTAAGTTAGTAATATTAATGATGTTTTGATATCTTAAGTCCACTAAATTTATTATTTAAACACTAAACTCACTGGTTTCTCGTTATTAGTTTCGTAACTATTCCCTATTCACTATTGCTCTTACCCAGATACCTATGGTGAGGAACACTTAGGTGACCTGGTTTTGTAGTTTTCGAGAATTTGGTTTACTCATTAATACAAATCAACGTGTCACAATCGAATGCGAATAGCTGCTTGTCGACTTTTCATCTATACATCTTTTTAGTAGTTTTAAGTTACAAAAAAAGTTCATCGATGTCCACTTCCTTAGACAATTTCATGTCCTTTCTATGCTTTTCATATCTATATTTCCATTTCTAGGTCGCTTCCAAGGATGCTAGTGAAAAAACAGAAACAGACGATAAGACTTCACAAATGTTCTACTTTGATAACGAAAATCAATCTGCACTTATTTGTGCAATATGTTGGGATGTTATGACAGATTGGCGTCGATTACCATGTCGTCATGATTTCCACGAACACTGTCTTCGTGCTTGGCTTGAACAGAATCCAAGTTGTCCTACTTGTCGGCGTGATTTGGGCATACCTCCTATACTTCTTCACAATCATAACAGGACACAACGGTCGGAAAACGTAGCATTTGGTATGCTTGTTCGAAACTTGTTCAATAATGTTGGGAACGAAGGTCCAACTAATCGTAACGGAGTCAATAATGTACAGCCACTGATTACACCTCATAATGCAATTCAACCTAACCAAACGTCTGGCATTTCCAGGATGTTCGCTACGGCTGTAGGGTTAAATCTTGGATTAAGTATTGGTTCTGCCCCAGTTGTCGCTGCTGCCGCTCAAACGGCTGCACTAAATGCACTACCTCGTGAATCAGGCACACAAGGTTCTGTTGCTAGTACTTCTGGCTCACAGACTGAAGAAACACCAAATGTCCATACACAGAATGAGGATAATTCATCTGTACGAGAAGCAACGCATACTGATGACCAAAATGTAAGTAGTTTTGATGTTGAAACTATCAGTAGTCGGTTTCTATTATTTTTCATAAGTTCTCAAATGCAACATTAATAGTTGTAAGTTCCCAAACCACATTTAGGTCTAATAGGTTGAAAAAGATTTAGTGGTTAAATAGTATTCGTCTTATTGCGATTTGTGGCATCCATTCTTGAGAGGCTTCCATGTTTATGCATCAGGAAAAATATGCATGCTGAGTAAATGTTAATCATAATGTTGTTTTCCAAGGATTATATAGCCAGAACTAAGTAATTAAAAGAAATATTTCAACTGTCGCGCTTTATCCAGTGTAGCTGTAAGATTTAGTTTTCGATATTTCTGTAATCTGATATACTACAGTCGAAATAAGATTGTGTGCAGTAATACAATGTGCATATATATATATATATATATATATATATAGTTGTCTTCATAAGTGTACGATCTAAGAACCATGCTAGTATCCATTTCTTTGTGTTCTCTTGATGATACAGATTTCTAGAATGTATATCATACACCCAATCTATAAATCCTTTCAAACACTTAAGTTTTGATGTCATTAACTTACCTTTCTATATGTTCTATAGGTAAAAATAATCTATTAATTAAAAGCTTGACTGAGCCATACCAATGTACAGTTACAGGAAATTTTTAGAAATGCATTACGATTAGTTACAAACTATATGAGTCATAAAGTCTACAGATTTCACTCAGTAGGGTGTGCTTGTCATCTGATCTCATACTGGCGATGTAAGTGAAGTGGGCACCTTTTTTCATACTTAGTAACTTCATTCATCTTAACAAACATAAACCATGCATTTTTGTGGACTATAGGGATCATGAAAAGGGGATGTGGTAAAAGCTTTCGTGTAATGTGCTTTAAAAAAGGTTTGCTGTCTGTCTGTGCTACTATTCGTTCATATTTACCAAGTACTAAGGCGATTGGCTGATGGGATTTTAACGAGGAAAATAAAAAAAGCACTTATCTCTTTCAAAAAATCGGAGTAATCCCATATAGAACACTTCAAAATCTGTTTACATCTCTGTAAAATAGTTTAGACTTATGAACTAATATTCTGTGAAATACGCTATTTTGGGTTACCTCCAGTTACTTTCAATATTTATACCGTAATTTAAGTAATTGGGCTGGCCGTCGTTTTGGAAAGACATAAAAGCCAAATAATCCTTGGCTATAAATATGAGTCCACTTTTCTTAAAATGGCAGGTAAGTGAGCGTACTTCCCAGATTACTAGGGTTGTTACTTTCTAATTTGATTTTGCTGTATGTGCGTTACAAATCTGTAGCAAACAGATATGTTTCTCAATGTACCATCATATCTGTAGTTGGATACGATCTTCAAACTTTTCGTTAGGGATTGTTCTTTATGTTATTTTCACTCTTGAGTCCTGACTTAATTTCACTTTTGATGAGATGTACACGCACAACTTATACGATTCGAATTGTTTCTAAATATCAAATTTTAATTAAATTGTCTGTTTGTGGTAATTTTATTTCTGTTTAGTCCATTGCATTTGTAAAAGCTTAGTTCGGTCTTTAAAAAAGTTTACAAATGTTTATTGCTGCAAATATTTTTAATTTTTTTATTTGCGGATTGCATTCCTTCTTTTTTCTGTAAAATGTCTAAAAGCCCTTTTAATCACGATTACACGTGAACATTTCATGCCTTGGCCGTATACACACAGTCATTTCACTTAAAATTATCGATCTTTGAATTAATCATTGTCCTTCCAACACTATTGATTTGGGTAGTTTTACTGATATTTTATCGAGTCATCTGTATCTATTGTGTTTTTTATTTCCATGTAAAATCAGCAAACTGCTCCAGGAAATGAAGCTAGAGACCAAATTAGACGTAGATCTTTCCATTTTGATGGATCACGCTATTTCTCCTGGTTACCATCTTTACATGTTGAACTGTCTGAAGTAAGTTGTTTTGTGGGATAATTTATTTTATTAAATAATTAAATCAATTATATATCAAGCGGATAAATTCTTGGGTGCGGTAGATTCTTCTAAGATATGTAATACGGTAATATTTATCTTCATGTAAACTCTGAGAGTTGTCATTATATCTACAAAATAATTAAATTTAAGTTTTTCGAAGCTATATTAACCTCATTAATGATATATGTATTTATCGAATTTAGCAGAATGATGAATTAATTGTGGATTCTATTAGATATACACTGATGTTTACTTATCTTCAGCAAAATTGAATGCTGCTTTGAGGTCACGAAATGCCACTATAATCGGATGTCAGTAAGTATTCCTGTTTTGTTTTGTTTTGAAACCTAACGAAAAGTAAATATTCGGTCAATACATCTACGTCCATATCTGAAATCATCCTGATTTTCATGCTATCATTGACGAATCCTAACCAAGCGTTGGATGATTATAGAGACAATCATTTTCCACGGTTATACTGATTCCTCTGTGATTATTGCAATAGTGTTTATATCCTTTCTTATAAATTGGAACGATCAGCGATTGAGACCAGTCCGATAGAATTACGTCCAGCTCCCAGACTCTAGTATCTCAGTCAACTACTATTCGACTATCGTCCTTAAAGATCTCTAGAGTTAACGCGTAAGGATCTGTTTCTCTTTCGCTTCCTAGATCAGTTATAACTTTTTTCAACCTCACCAAGAGTTGGGGAACTCGTATCGATTCCCCATTCAGGTTGTTTAGAGATCCTGATTAACTTAATAGTCACTGGAGTTCAGATGATCTGTTTCTTAAACTGTCCTATTTATCGTCTTAATCTGCTAAACTGAAACTGAATATTATTGCTGTCTTCCCCGAAATAGTTTCACTAATAGTTGCCTTTTTAATGCCTATTTCGTTGACGGGTCTGATGAGTTGTTTAGTGTTACGTATTGCCGAAGCCTTTTTAGACCTCTGTGGTTCCCACCACTGGTCACGATCATTGCATAACAATTTTGTTCGTCTACGTTTAATCATTTTTCGTTCTTCAATGTTCATTAAGCCTTCTAGGATGAGTTTTCGAACATCTATTAATTCATTAGGTGGCATGTGAATGCACTGGTCTTTCCTAACCTTTTAATACAACTTAGTGACTAATATTTATTATTTATTTACAGTTGTTTGGTTATCGCGCCGAGTCCCTTCGTATTGAACCCCTTGATCAACCAAGTGTTGAACTACTTCATTCCTGAAAGCATGTTCGAAATAAATTCTAAGGGGTCTCCTTGTTATGGCTTTTCTGTGTTCACTAAGACTCAATCAGAATTGTGCTCTCACTAGGGCATGGTCAGAGTTCAAGCATGTACTCTGGATGCATTGACAGTCTATATAAGGCCTCCAATGATGCCTTATGGTCGTATGATCTGTCTCCACCTTTGTGTTGAGATTAGGGGCTGGCAGATTAAAAGATATCTCTTCTGTTAAATTTTTTACTTGATAGGAATAAGCGATTGTCTAAGCATAATTACAGAAGACCGTCACCATTGTCTGTTTCCAGGCCGAGACCCCTTAAGACACACCTCTTTGTTTCACATTTTGACTTCGTTTACCGATCTGGGAGTTTAAATCACCTGCTACGACTACGTCTGAGGGTTTGGCTTTCAGAAAGAAGTCATAGTTTCATGTAAAATTCACTGTTTACTCCTTCGGATCTACAATCGGTAGCGGCATCAGTAAGAGCAACGAAAAAAACAACAGTTTATGACTTCATCTTTTCGAGTTCTTAGTGTGTTATTGAGCTGAACATCAGATAAGCTACGATCTACGGGAACCCAGTCATGAAGTCCCTGTTCTACTTTTAGATCTAGTGCTTATAGTTACACCGACAAGACTACAAGTTCACGTCACTTCTCTAGATACACAAAGAGTATATTACGTTGGCTCTCCATACTGGGTAGATGGGGTCAAGCGAATAGCCCCCAAATGCCCTGGTACGGTCGAGAGTGGGGAGAGTCCGCTATCCCTCTCGAAACGCTCTCACATGGCCATGTGCATACAATCACTGCCAGGGAAGTCCTGCTCACTGCCTTCTCGTGGCGGGGGTGTTGTTTACGAAATTGAGAGGACGAAAAGCGAATATCCAGCGCGTTAACCGGGTTGGTGGACATGGAGATTCCACCTAGGGAAGTTGAAAAACCCTGATTCCAAACCAATGGTGCACATGGGCTTCAGTACCCTGAAGTAATAAATGGCGTATGAACCAATCGTTGGTCACCGGCTACCATGGGACTGCATCTCCTGACGTTGTTCCACTGCCTTGTGGATTAGACCTTAAGGTCAAAGGCTCCGGGTGTGGCCCCCCAAGAAAGCCACCTGCTTCGGTTCGGGCACCCGAGCAGTATCACACCCCTCACACAAATCAAATGAGATTTGTGTGGTGCATATGTATTTGGTGCCTCCTTGTACCAATATCTGTTTGTTAAAGTAATAAAAAATATCCACTTTGGGATCCTGTACACAACTAGTCGAGTGAGAGCTTATGGAGACCTGTAGCAAATCGTTCCATCCTACTTTATGACAGTGAAACATGGCCGGTAAGAGTAGAGGATATTCGTATGTTACTAGTATTCCATCATAGATGTCTTCGGAACATCGCTTGTATATCCTGGGACCACCGAGTAAGTAACGCAGTTGTTAGGAAACGGGTGCTAGGTAAGGATGGCAAATCAATTGATGACGTAGTGAAACTTCATCAGTTGAGATGGCTGGGACACGTGTTGGGTATGTGCAACGACCGACTGCCTCGACGTGTGATGTTTTGTGAGAATATTTTCTCTTTAGGGACCTGAAACAGAATTTGGATTTGGAATAGTCTTGAATACCCGGTGGTGTGACTAGTGCACGAAACTACTCACACACTGCCTCCGAGTAGTTTTGTTTGAAACAGGTCCTTAATTTTAAGGTCCCAACTGCCAGTGACCGAAATCCATGGGGCAAGTTTAGATGTGTTGCCCTTAGAGTTGATCTTCACAAACCCCCTCTTTCCATTGTGGGAAAACAACATAGCTGCAGATTCTGGTTGTTTGAGGGAAAGCAACATATTACTATCACACTCCCATACAGCTGGTAGTACGGCTACGCCCTCGGACCACAGGTTTGGTGTTTTTATTCTTACTACTCAACAATCAACATGACTATAACGGTAAGACCTAAATTAACGAATACTTGGTCAGTTTACTTCCATCGTACCATCACGATAATGCAAGCCCGACCATCATGTCAAGGTTTAAGCGACGGTTAGGATATTAGTTTACCATCTAATTAAGTGCTTTTCACGCTCTAATCATATGAGTTATGGTATTTTACTATTTTTGTGACACACAATTAGTGCAATGATTTTATAATAATAAGTGTTCATTTAGTTCTCGTCTAATTTAATCTGTTAGTCCGTTTTTCGAAGTCAACTTCAAATTTCTGATGCAACAAACTTGCTCAGCTACTATTGTGACAATAAAACAGCTTTCGGTCAGTATAGATAGCATATAATAAAAATTGTGATTCTTAAACCGGTTAACTGTTACCCAGTACTTTAGATTCTTGATTCTAAACGTTCAAGTAGTAAGTTCAGCTTCCTACCTACAAACCAAGATTTTAAGCAATTAAATTTTAGTGTCAGTACTTTTAAATTCAGTACGTGTCGTTTACAACTGAACCATGCAAAATCAACTCTACTTTGTTTTTCTTATGAAATCTATTAGCTAAGAATAAATTGTTGTCGATTTCAAATATTATGGTAACTCTCTAGTTTTCACTGTAGTTCATTAGAATTTTAGTAGATTGTAGCCAATCTGCTCTGAAAAAATCATCTATTGAACCATATAAATTTTATTGTACATATTTATTATCTTGGATTTGACAGACACTTTTTATCGCTACAGGTATTTCGTGAGGTATTTCATGTTGGTGGAATTCAACCCTACAGTGCAATTAACGAATTGAATAATCAAACAAATGGTCAACAAACGACAGGTTTTAATCATACTAATGTTCATAATTCTATGTTTAATGGGAATAGTGATTTGAATGTATTACCATTATATCTACGTTCTGCTGTTGACCAACTAACCAATATGTTCCCACAATTCCCACGTTCTGTGATAATTGCTGAGCTTTTAGCTACAGGCGTTCCAGATTTAGCAGCAGAAAATTTAATGGCTAGACCATCACCGATAACCCCTACTTCAAGCTCTAGTAACATGATTCCTACTACTAGTGCTATTGTAAATCAGAATGTAAGTCATATAATGATGCATGTTAGGTTTTTTTCGTGTGAAAATGCTGTTCTTTATTGTTTAACTATTTTTTATATGTTCGGCTTTTTTATTGTAAGTACTTTTAGTAATTATGATCGACTGAAAATCCATTCCTAAAAATTATAACCTTTGAAATATATTTAGTTCTAATTTTTTTAATTTTAGTGTTAGATGGTAAAGAAAAGTTAGAAATCTCTTATAGTGTTGATCATAGTGGTTCAAAACAAAATCAGTCTTAATTGTCTTATAAATCTGTAACATTATCACCGTATCCTCACTACTTCCTTTGATCCATATTGCTGTTGGTTTTCTCTTTTTTGTTAAGAAATGTTGAGACCTCAGCATATGAATAGGTTATAAACCCATTATGTATGCTTGTCACCATCAGTTTTTGTAGTTGACTTCATCTACATGTAACTCACCAAACGCTTCAAATCAGTAGTCAATAGCTTTGTCGATTAATTACTTTTATTCAATCCAACTACATATTTTATTTGGGATCATCAGTGAATATCAGGACAAACTGCTTTTCGTTTTCAGGCTACGTGGTAGTTAACTGTTCTCAGTACGACGATACATTGAAAATTTTATCTTAACGATATACAGTTCACCTTATTTGGTCAGTGGAATATAATTGTCACATTGAACGAAGTTCATATCTGTTATCCTGGTCTAAATTGATACAAAAAGTATTGACCTATCTTATCTCATCATATTTGTCTGTACGTAGACTACTTCTGTATCATATATGCTGCGAGTACCTTAGGTAATTTAGCTTTGATGCTTTTGAGTTTGGCCTTAGTAAATTAATCTAAATTGAATGCATGCTACAACGATATTTGACGTGAAGTCTTTACAAAGATGGGGAGGTGTTTCCAAACCACCTGTAGTCAGAGAGTACTCGTTGCATGTTTATATTCATCCTTTATTATTTTAAATCTATATAGTAAAACGAGTTACTCAAGAAACTTGATGCGTGAAAGCAGTTGTTATGTACTGAACGAGCACAGATGGAGAAGACCAATTTATCGTTTAGCATAAAATTACAGTGTCTTCATAAATTATGAAAACCATACAGTAGACACATCATTTGCACATCTTTCACTTATTTCTTGCAAACTTCGTTGTTCTTTCATTCCTGTTGTTATCTTGTTAGCTCTCAGTTTCCTTCTCTCTCCTCTTCGTTTCAATCTTGTCAGCCTTCGGTTCTCAGGCATTCCACTTCCGATTGGTGTTACATATTACTTATATCTGCAAACATAAGTAACATACACCATATTTATCTCTTGATTTTCGGTTTTTCTTTACCAATAAATATTATTACCGTTATAGACGTGACTGCTTAACATATGCTGTCATATTAGTGAAATATGTAGTAATTTGGTCGAAACTTCACATGAGATACGCTAAATATTTAGTAATCATCCATATTACTTCGATCCAGCATGTTAAAATGCAAAATTCTGGTCGTGATGAAATTTAAAATATACCACTGTCCGTGATACGCACTTTTTATAAGATATCATTTGGCCCTAATAGTTCATGCAGAGTTTAAGTTACTATTCAATGTCATATATTGATTTGAGATTTGCAAGTAAAATTAAGTATACATCGACTAAAATTTTGTCTGTAATTTTACATCCTAACCAAACTAAGCATCCAAAGACCGTACATTACCCCTCTCCCTTCTTAAATTTATTGTTTATTGGTTTAATTGTTACGATTCCAATTTGTTTGTAACACCGTGTTTTATATTGGACATGTATCTCATATTATGGTATGTGCAGCTGATGTCGGCAGATGTAAGTAGTATGTATCATCAATCAGAAGTGAAGTGCCTGGCAGCAGAAGGTTAAGAAGATCTAAGAAGAGAGAGCGAATGGTGTGGAAACGAAAGAACACTGAAGTCTGAAACGGTTGATTAACATTTTGCAAATGAAGTATTTATTGTACAGTTCTCAGATTTTACTAAGACGCTCTGTAATTTTGTATTCAAATACATCCGATTGTCCCCGCTTGTGTTCTCGTTCACTACGATATCCGTGGGATTTATTGAGGAAATTTGAACTAATTAAAAGAAATAAATAAGTTGTCAGCTTAAGATATGGAGCAACAAAATCGAAAACTAAAACTCCGACAGATATGATTCACGATTATAGTTAGTTGTGATCAAGTAGTATTTTCCTCATTCTAACTATTTATTCCATTGTTCGGCTTGCAAGTAACTTCACTCTTTGTTATCCCTAAGATCCTAATTATCTTGATTATTTTCCAGATTTTCCCGAATTGTATCCTCTATACCTAATCTTTTCTAATATAACTAAGGTTGTTACTACTTATACTACTCTGGTATCTTACTGTGGCGATGTGGCGTGACACTTTGAACCGATTCTCATATTTCCCAGGTACATTGCGTATAACTGACTGGCTTAACTTGATATGCTTAGTCTAGCTATGCTAATAAACATTTTAGTTAATGATTTTAATGCACTACAAAATTGGTCAATAAAAGAGAAGTAGATCCGTAATTAATTGCTTCATCTTCTGAAATCCATTTCAAGAACTTATAAGCAATATACAATCCTTTTTAAGGATTTCATCTATCATTTATAGATTACCCTGTGAGAAATACTTCCTTTTATCTGACGCTTGGTTTCACGTGAAAAAAACTCGTGGAGACCAGGTCTGTCTGACACGCGGAAGTGAATATACTGGTCAGATGTTCACCCCTCAACAGGTTTTGAAACGTAAGCAATATGATATAAACCCAACTAAAGTTCAATTACCTGACCTTAAGACAGCATTCGACTCCATCAGCCGAGACATTTTGTGACTGGGTTTATCATCGTAAAATTTTATCGATAAAGCCCACAAACCCGGATAATAGTTCGAATCAGAGTTCATCGTGAACTGTCATCAAAATCATCAACTACTTCAGGTCTGGCCACAATCTTTTTTATCTAATTTTACCATGGATGTCCCCTTAGAAACCACACTTTACCTAACTTTTCGAAAATTGATCTGTCAGGAGGTCTACTTATTGGGTTAGAATACCAAAATGACAATTTGGTGAAGACTTAGGAAATGCAGTTTTTTTTATCACTTTAAAGTAGCAATATAAACGTGTTTAGATCACGTTTATCTCCCCCCTAACTGCAAATATTGCTTGAATACTGGCCTCTGTCATCGCCTAGATTAATAATAGGGGGCGAATCAATTGACTTTTGATCGTTTTATTTATCTGGGATATCTCAACAGCCATGATAGATTGGTGTCTGACGAAATCGTGACATGGATTCAATAAGCCAAATGACTGGCTTTTTTCAAACTGAGTCATTTATGGAGTTGGTGAGATATCTGTCTGCCAACCAAATGGCGATTTAACTGTACAGCAGTCCATTTTGTATTACTATATGTTTGTGAAACATGGACCATAGAAACAGAAGACATTCGTAGGCTGCAGACTTTTGACTATAGATGTCTTGGATGCATCCCCTGAATATATTGTCGCGACAAAGTGAAAAAATGCTAAGGCTAATCCTAGGGTCCCGACCGAAGGTGCTACCTTGACGCGGTGGTTGGGCTTGCCTATCGTGATGACCCAACCGAGTTATATTGGCTGGAAGATATGTCCCTGTAGGTTCTACCATGCCAGGAAGGTCGATTGGAGAACGGTAAGACTAAAAGCAGCAACTCAAGGTCTGAGGGTGAAGTCGTACTGCTGGCTGTAGAGGGGTGTAACAGCAGTAAGGTGTTTCTCTCGGAAAACCAGCATGACAGCGATGCTGCCTTCCCACAAGGAGAGGTGAGGTTAGAAATGGTCGACCCTAAAAATGTCAAACCTCACCTTACCTCACGGGTTTCCGTCTCCGGTGGTAAGGCCCTTTGAAGAACGGAGCTAACACATTAAAAACCTTCCACGAAAAGGCCATACGCGACCGACCTCAAGCAGTTGTACGTTGGGCTCTGTGGTAACGCTCCCAGGTCGTTAAGACCAACACTAATCCGACTTCTTTTTCAGGTTCCTCAAGAAATACCCTTCCACGATGTGGGCAGCCGGGAAGTGATATCAGCCCTTATACCCGTAACAGCACATGAGACCAAGTTGGTCACATTCAAATCCTTCCTACATCTCCATGACTAACCCTCCTCACGTCTCTTTATCACCTCGCACTGCTAGGACAAACGATTCGTGTACGCGGAACGTTATTCCTGGTCTCCTGAAACCACGCTCTAAACTACACGTAGGAGCTTTTAACGTCCGAACACTGTGCCAAATATGACAACAGGCTTCCTTAGCTAAGAATTTAGAATCCCGCGCCATCGATGTGTGCTGCGTCTCCGAAACGCGCATACAGGATCCGAGTAGCGTCATTCATTTGACCTCACCATGCCAAAATAAAGAACCGACTCGATTCACACTTCGTGTATCTGGAAGCCCAGATTCTGCTTCCCGTGGCCTCGCCGGCGTAGGTATAGCATTGAGTCCTAGGGCAGAACTAGCTCTCTTAGAGTGGATCCCAGTAGACAGTCGTTTGTGCGCTGTCCGACTGAACGAAACAGTAAGAATCCGGAAAGATAGGGACACTTGTCGTTGCCTCTTCGTCGTCTCTGCCTATTATCCCACGGACTACAGCGCAGATGATGTAAAAGATGAGTTTTACAGAAAGCTCTCCGACCTTCTCCGAAAAGCTAGGCGCTCGGATGTAGTAATAATGGCCGGTGACTTTAATGCTCAAGTAGGTAAACTAAGCGATCGGGAAAGACATATAGGTGGAATTTATAGCATCGTGGCTCAAAGAACACAATGGCGACCATCTGTTGCAGCTATGCTCAGATAACCGCCTGTTCCTTGCAAGTACTAACTTTAAGCATAAAGAAAAACATCTTTTGACATGGCGACCCCCAAATTCGTCCCAACGTTGGACCCAAATAGATCACATCGCTATCAGCCACCGATGGAGGGGCTCGATAGAAGACTGTCACTCATTCTGGAGCACATGCTTAGATTCAGATCATGCTCTAGTACGAGCGCGTATCTGTCTGCGTCTTACTGGACGTAGGAAAGACGCTGCAAGTAAACCTCTTAGTGTTCTACTTAATGATAGTCAAGCTAAGAGTATATTTCAGGAACAACTAGGAAAACAGTTAGGCAGCCATGTATGTGATGCCCACCACGAGGCAGCATGGAATGATATCCGAAAAGCTGTGGAAACAGCAAGGTAAACCATAAGGTTAGAGAGCAACATTGGATCTCAGCAACATCTATCGCACTGATAGATGCTCGGAAACTCATTCCACCTGGCTCTGAACGTAATGAAAAGCGGAGTCAGCTTAAGCGCAAGCTGACAAGAAGTCTACGCAATGATCGTGAACCGTGGTGGGTAGCGAAAGCAAGAGAGATGGAAAAGGCAGCGGCAATAGGTAATAGCAAACAATTGTTCAGACTTGTTAAGGAAACCGACTGTTAGCGAAACAATCTCAGGGAAAGATGGACATTTTATACATTCTCAATCCAGGAGATTGGATCAATGGGCAGAACACTTTAGGGATCAGTTCAACTGGCCTTCAGCCACACTTCGGTTTCCCACAATCTCCAGTCAACCTGAATGACAAGTTAATGTAGGCCCTCCGACTCTTTAAGAAGTTGAAAAAGCTATAGGAAATCTGAAGTGAGGGAGAGCAGCAGGCCCTGACAGGTTTACTCCTGAGATTTTTAAGGATGGTGGTTCAGTATTAGCAGTGAGATTAACTGAGGTCTTAGGTAGAATTTGGGAACTGGACGTAATCTCATCTGACTGGTCTCAATCACTGATTGCGCCAGTCTATAAAAAAGGACAAATGTCCTCTTGTGACAATCACAGAGGAATCAGTTTGACTAATATAGTGTCTAAAATATTAGCTTCAATAATACTTCGACGCCTAACTAAAGCTCATAAAGAGCAGACTAGAGAAAATCAGGCTGGTTTTCGACCTGGACGTGGTTGTATAGATCAGATATTCACACTACGTCAGGTTCTAGAACACAGACACACATTCAGACGCCCCACAATGGTAGTATTTCCCCCTCGAAAAGCAAGATGTTACTTCAGGATTGGGTTGCATTGACACCCGAACTGATGATAGGGAGTGAAGTAATTGAGCGTGTCGATCGCTTCACTTATCTTGGAAGTCTCATCAGCCCTTGAAGTCTGGTGTGTGACGAAGTCTCAGCACGGATACAGAAGGCTCGACTAGCTTTTACCAACTTGCGTCATTTATGGTGTACGCGAGATATCCCTCCACCAACCAAAGGACGGGTTTACTGTGCAGCAGTTCGTTCCATTCTACTTTATGGCTGTGAAACATGGCCGGTAAAAGTAGAGGATATTCGTAGGTTACTAGTATTTGACTATAGGTGTCTTCGAAATATTGCTCGTATATCCTGGGACCATCGAGTAAGTAACGCAGTTGTTAGGAAACGGGTGCTAGGTAAGGATGGCAAATCAATTGATGACGTAGTGAAACTTCATCAGTTGAGATGGCTGGGACACGTGTTACGTATGTGCAACGACCGACTGCCTCGACGTGTGATGTTTTGTGGTGTAGGAGTAGGTTGGAAGAAAGCTAAGGGCGGCCAGACCAAAACATGGCACAAGTCCATGAAGTCACTGACAAGTGGACTGAGTCATGTTGGTAGGTGTAGACTACCTGGTTGGGGACCGCGAGATGATAGCAACCGATGGTTAGAGACCCTGAATGACATGGCTCAAAATCGTTTGCAATGGCGCAGGTGCATCCACTCTGTGTTCTCCCAAATTCTAATCTTCTGAATTCTTCATGTCCCTTTCTGTTTTCTCTTTCCAAATTTATTTCACTGTATTATACTCTTTAAATAATATGTTCAAACACTAATTTTCCCGATTACTACTTATACTCTTATTACCTCTACCACTACGGGTTTTGAATCGGCCACTACATCTGTGTGCTAATGTGGTGTGGCAACTCGAACTGATGTACGTACGTACGAATTTCTACGTTGTTACTGACTGACTGAGGGTCCTATGTAAAGTTGTCGAATGAGTTGATGAGGCCTTGAGATCTGACTCAGTGTGATGGTTGGGATATAGGTTACTTAAACCTAACCACCACTTACCTCGACGGGTGGTGTTTTGTATTGTAGGAGTTGAGATAGTGAAGATTTGTAGCTCAAGTGGATAATTCACTTTGTTCTTCCTCAAGTTTGTGCTGAGGATATCGTTCGGAAGAACATTAAAAACTCCACGACCAAACCATCCGGCTCAAAGAACAAAACACAAAAATTGTAAGAGTTGGTTTGGAATGAAGCTAGGTGCACTCAAACTAGGACATGGCAGCAGTTCATATAATCATTGACTGTTATTCTGAGAAGTAGTCGTGATCAGTGGTTGTAGACTTTAACTGATGTCACTCAGAATTCTCAGTGGGCATAAATGCATTCATCCCTCATCTCATCTTAATTCTTTAACCTCAATATCACATAGTTCTTGTTTCTCAAGTTTATTCCTTTTGGAACCACATTCTCTATTTCCAGTCATTTTTTGTTCTCAGTAATACTATGTATAATTCCTTAGTATTTATCTTAATAAGTTTCTTTTCTGTCCTTTTATTGTGTGCTGACTTGGGTCTATGCATATCTGTCTTGATTCCTACGTATCTTTCATACACATAGTTCTCTTTATTATTTTGAAGAGAGCAAGAACAAAGATTAGTGCTGCACCAAACTTTGTTCTTTCTCTCCTACGTATCTATTGACTCATTACCCAAACAGGTGCTTGTACTCATTTTTCACTGTTACTTTAAACCTACGGGACACGATTCGACTTCTTGTAAGTAACAAATTTTATTCACTTCATGCAAATAATCAGGTGTGATTGATAAGTAATAAAGAAATGGGGAATAATTATTCCGTCTTCAAGACTGACTAGTAGTGCTACTGACGTATAACTTGATTTCGATAAAAAGATTTGGTGTCAGCTAATTATTTTCTATGTGTACTAATCGTATTCTGTGAATCTTATAATTACTATATTCGTCGTACATGGTGCGACATGATATTTTTTAAAAAACTTTATCTTGTGTAAATCCATCCCTATTACTACTTGCTTTTTTCCTTGTCAGAATTTATTCAACGTAACAACTAATATAAACCGTGAAGCTGAAGATACCTATCAATTTACACCATCCAGTCCTCCTTCCTTATTAATTGAACAACTGGGTACAGCAGATGGTGATGAAGGTGAAGATGAAGTACTAAATGGTGACAGAAACTCATCTTTCGCTGCCAGGCGTAAGGCAATGTTATGCAAAGCCAGAAAACGTTTTATAGCAAGAATTAATAATTCTTAGTTAATATTTTTTCGTTTATTTATCTTCTCATTATTGCACATTATTAATTTACGTACCCGAAATATGGCTTTCGTCTTGTATTTTTCTGTATTATTATTATTATTATCATTACTATCACTAATAATGCCACATCTTTATTGTAGTTATTCATTATAATTGGCTCTGATTGATTTCACATCAGTTTAGGATACCCCTTAATTTTTTTCCTTTCTTTTTCTTTGCACATAAATCATTATTAATTTAACCCGTCGCCTTGGTGTTGTTTTTTTTCCTGCAAATATCGTTATAAGTGTGAAAATTCAAATTAGTGTTTAACCATACTTGGTGCATGTATGTATGTGTAAGTGTATCCTCTTATGGCATTACCAGTAAAATAAAAGTTTAAAAAAAGCATGCATAGTTCCGACTAATGAAAAGTATTCATTCATGCAATTTGATAGATGCATAAATTTTAAATACCCTTGAACTAAGATTGTTATTATTATTAGTGTTATTGTTAATATTGCCGTTGTTTTGGAGAATCGGGATTTTTGTCCCACTTAAAAAATTAGACCAAGGTATATACCTACACGATTTATATGTTGTATATTTAAATTTTTAATATTTCTTAATCTTAATAGTTTGTTTATTTGTTGGTTTTTGTTTTTTCGGTCACACATGTCTAGTTGCTTTAATCCCTCTAACTATGCATAAAACATTTTACGTGATGAATATCTGTTAAGCAGTAGTTATTTTCTGCATACTACTATTAAGAATTACATCTATTCTTTTCTCGATTATTTCTATTACTACTACTACTACTACTACTCATCACTTAACTTTCATTTATCAAATGAAAGCTAATTAATGTTAACAATTCTCTCCTTTCATGTTTACTTTATGTGTAAATTCATGAAAGAAAGGTTGTATTGTAATTTCGAACAAAAATTAAATCCTTTTCTTCTTTTTATATTTATTTATTCCATCAATATTGTGAATAACTAGATAAAATATTAAAAGTCTTTTAATGAGAAGTGGGCTTTTTTAATGATGGGATTTAAAATATTAGTAAACTAACCATTTTGATCATATATCTCTCGTGATCGGTGTTTCTTTTAACGCAATTGTTGTAAATTGAAATGGAAATAATGAACCAAGAGTTTCACTTAGAGATCTGATACATATTTAATCAACAAGTGTCAACTATGAAATACGTTTCAAGTGTATGTTAATTTCATGATTACAAATACTCTAATACATTCAATATATCTCAACTGGATTACTTTTTAACAATCTTAGTTGAAACTTCCTTGATTAAGAACCACCAATTATATTTGTGAAATCTATTCTGAGTCATTTAAGTTTTTCTAATTACCTATACGTGTTCATAATAGTTTGGTTCTTTAATGAGTAATAAACTTCGTCTTTTCTTAGCATTATCTCAGTTATACATGTTCGCTAAAAGCTTGCATTAGAACAACATATATAAGTGTAAAATATTGTTATCAGTCAGATCTTCATCAGGCTTCACTCTAATATACACTTATATATATATATATATATATATATATATATATATATATATATATATATATATAAGAACAATATTCAACCAATCAACGTAGTTTATGAATCAGTATTAAAAATGAATTAGATTGCATTGCTAAACATAATAAACAGAAAGTGTAAATTGACGGTGAGATAACAAGTGTACTAATAGGGATAGAAGTAGTAAAAATTTAAGCCAATGTCTTAACATAAGAATTAGATTAAAATTTGGGAAACGAAGACGTTAAAATAATAATCATTAAAAGTTATTGGGACTATGTGGTAATAAATTTTCCAATAATTGCACAGTGAGGAATATAGATGAAAGACGATAAATAAGGTGACGAACGAAAGATACGGGAAATAACAGTAAAAGTGAGCAAAATCCTTTGTTAATTTAAGGGACTGGAGTGTCATATTTCTGAATGCATAGACAGGTTTAAAATTTGAATCCCTTTAGCTACTGCTATATGAAGTAGATAATATTCAGAAATGACGAAAATATATGGTAGGTCACCTGAAGTAACTCATTTTTATCTACCACAGTCAGCTAAGCATGGTATGAAGGGACTACGTATTACCTTCATCTAACTTATTCCTGCTTTTAGTTTGTTATGAGTAGTTATGCAACATACTTCACTGGGCTTATTGACTTATAATTTCTTTGATTGGTATATCTGTATAAATATTACTATATATTAGATCTAATTGAAAATAATACTGTTCGCTTATATGCATTGTTCTGATTGACACGGTGAGAATTTTTAATTTATTAAAAGTATACAGTTAACATGTTAATTACTCACATGTAGTTTTACATATGTCGAAATTCAATTAATAACAGTAATTGGTTCGTTGATGTTTTAAATTTATAAAAAGATCTGAAATAATGGATATCATAATGTCTGTATATTGTTAGTCGATCATCTTGTTATAAGCAATACAGTTATTGTGACTAATTCTGGCTAAAATACTAATAAAATTAGTTGAGGTTAGACATTAACACCACTGGATGCCGGCTCAGTGGTCTAGTTGGTTAAGCGCCTGGCGCGAGACTGATAGGTCCTGAGTTCGAATCTCGCGGAGTGCGGGATCGAAGGTGCGCACTACTGAGGAGTCCCACATTAGGACGAAACGGCCGTCCAGTGCTTCCAGGTTTTCCATGGTGGTCTAGCTTCAGTTGACTCATGATTCCAATAAAAATAATAATAAAATTTTGTTTAATTATGCATCTAATTGTTTTACAAATAAAAGTGCATATTTTTTATAATATAAAAGTTTCCCAATTGTTTCTTACTTTAATTCCTTTTTTAAAGGTCATTGCCCAAATATTATACATTAACTTTGAACGATTTACTAATAGGCTGACTATTTCTTGTTTAATCATGTGTTAATAACATTTATTTCGTTAGTGATTTAGTGAAATTGTAAAGTGCATAGTGATTGAATATTGATAGAGTGTGAATAAATTAGAAATGAACTATTTTCGTGTGTTCGTCAATAAGGTCAAAATGTATCTACGTTGAATTTTGTTTCATACTAGTACGTTATCTGAATCATCTTTTTTTATTATTTTGTTAAACCAATCAACATCAATTGTTTAGTCCCTTTTTTTAAAATTTGGTTAAAAAGTGATCTTTTTTCTCGTTGACAATTATTCGCAGTCACATGGCAATGATTGTCTTTTGATATTACTGTAACTCAGTCGGATCATATAAAGTACGGGTGAGCAATAAACATATTTGTTACAGTGTTGTCAGGATGAAATTGTCATTGTATTACTCCACATGGTTTTATCAAAAGTTATATTCACTATTTATTTTATTTATTTATTTGAACACAAATATTGGTACACAGTGGCATCAAATACATAAGCGCCACAAACTAACAACAAGGTTGTTGTAAAGAGATAGAGAATGTAAAGTGTGTATAAGAAAAAGGAGGACAACAACGAACGGAAATTAGTGTATGGAGGTGAAATAATAATAATAATAATAATAGGAGAGCCAGTTCAGTTAGCAAAAGTATAGTCAGAAAGAATTCTTCCAGATAAGAAAGTTACGTTCATTGCGGATTAATCTTTCACCTTTTACAGTCACTAAAATGCTTGTTATTTAAATTGTTGTCCTATTGAATATAAATAAGGTGGTTATCAAATGGTTACAGTACTTTCAAGTTCGAGTAAGTTTACTAAAAACGATTTTGACCTGAATCCAAATACACAGAACTATAATTAATATATTTGTAATATCCCAGTGAGTAGAAAAATTCGATTTTCTGACGTTTCGTGACCTAGTCCAAGCTACTTTTTGCTCTCATATCATATTTTACTACAGGTTTGGACAATTTTGCTGTTACTTTTTAATATCTTCCAGTCGTCCGATCCTTCGAACAATTGTAGCTGTGTTTTGCTAGGTAAATATGGTTTGCTTGTATGTAATCAGTTTGCATTCCTGCAAAGTTAATGATGTTCCACAATGCATAACATTCCAAGGTCAGGGATTTGAAATAAAAGTGATTTACAACTTGACAGTACTCGGAATCAGCGAAACCCATCGGACCCAAGCTGGACAGCAAAGGTTAGGTACGAGAGAGATACTGCTGTTCTCCGATCATGAAAAGTAAAATGCTGCACACACTCAGGGAGTTGCTCTGATGCTGTCCAAAGAAGCACGTAATGCATGTATAGGATGGAAATCTCACGGACCTAGGGTCATAAAAGCATCATTCAAAAGAACGAAGGGGGGAGTTACAATGAATATTATCCAATTTTATGCACCCACCAATGATAGTGAAGATTCCACAGGTATTCGGAGTTTGACAACGCTTTAACCATTTACACCTTCTAGTATGAAACGTACCCACCAAGTGAAATCAAAAGACAGAAGCGAGGAGTTTCGAAGATATATTTGATAGGCTATCAATATATCGAGGATCATCTGATCTAATCTGGCTAGCGATTGCAGGGGATGTGGAGCACGGCGTTCCCACTCGTGATCTAATGCGGATGCATGACCGAGCGCCTTCAGCTACGTGAGTCCATTAAAACTAATGTAGTCAGCATCCAATGTTGAAAACTTACAGAGCTATTTATTTTGGGGATTTATTTACCGCTACAATAGAAACGACGACAATAAAGATCAGATCTTTGAGAGGTTGCGGTCGATCATATTGAAGTGCCCAAGAAAGGACCTAACCATCCTCTTTTATCTAAACGCCAAAATCGGATCGGATAACACCGGATATGAAGATATCATGGGACGACGTGGAGTAACTGGGATAAAGAAACGAGATTTTCAAATCTATGTGCATTCAACAAATTGTTTACGGATGATACAATATTCCTACACAAAGCTACATGGGTCTCACCGAATCACATTACAAAGGACAATACCGATCATATTTGAATCAGTAAAAATTCACAAGGTTAATGGAAGACGTGAGAACCAGGAGAGGAGCTGACATAGCTTCAG